GTGTCTAGGCAGTTCTGCAATTGGGCCCAGAGAATAGGGGCAAGAGAATGGGGGCAGAGGTGCCAGTTGAAGAAGGTGGGGCTGTTATGAGAAGGCAGACCCACTGGAAGGACTCCTTCCAAAGAGTCAACAAATGTTGCTGCTATTCTATCTATACTCTCTAAACTTGCAAACAAGGATTGCATTTCCTTGCATTTTCTGTGTCTAGGCAGTTCTGCAATTGGGCCCAGAGAATAGGGGCAAGAGAATGGGGGCAGAGGTGCCAGTTGAAGAAGGTGGGGCTGTTATGAGAAGGCAGACCCACTGGAAGGACTCCTTCCAAAGAGTCAACAAAAACAGGGTGCCAGCACTGCTTGTGTGGTGGTGAAGAATTCCCTTTTGATTCTATCTCACATAAATCTGTCTTCAGACCAAAAAGGAATGTGATAACATTCCGGAATGCTTTCCCTTCTCAGATTCCCTGGAGAAGGTAGCAGGACTCAGAAGGCAAATGGGCCACAGAGAGTTACACTTCCATTTCGATGCTGACATTTCGACAAAGTAATATTTTTAACAGCAGTTATATTTGGAATAGTAGCCTCTCACTGGAATCTAGACAGCAAGGGAATGAATTCTGATGAAAACTGTTAACATGCAATTTCAGATGGATCTGCCAGAAATTCCTTTGTTCCCAATGGTATTCAAAATACAAAAAAAAGGGGGGGGGCAGTGAAAAAAAGAAAACAGCAGCATTATTTCCAATATACTCGCTGCTGCTGCAAAGGCCATTGCCTTGGGTATACCTTGGCAGCCCTGTGAAAAACTCTTGTCACTCTCTTCATAAATATGTACTGCATGGAAAATAAGATGGGAGGATTTAACAGCTCGTGGAACAACATGCCAGCTTGTTTTCTCCTCAGTGATTAAACTATTTTCCCATGCAACAATTACACTTCTGGCTTGAAAAGGAAAGGACACAGCTGCCACCTGAAGGCAGAAAATCTTATGAATAGCTGTAGTTTTGAAAGTGGCATATGAGTTTTACATAGAATAAAAACATTTAAGATGTGGCTGGTTGCTAGACTTCCAGCACTTCACTTCACTGTTAGAATAAATTGAGACTCCAGTCCAGCTGTGACGAACAAAGCAGTCCTGAAAATGAAAGCCTGTTGGATGCAGTGAGGCTTATCTTTCAGTAAACATGTGCAGGAATCAAAGCTCACAAATAAGCAAGTTATGGAATAACAACTTACTGGTAATTCATTTCTTTTATCAACATTAAGGCATAGCTAAGTTACTTTACAATGGTAACTTAGGAAAGCATCACCCCTTTTTCAGTATAACTATAATTTTATTTACTTTTAAAGTTAATGGGTTATGTGCCCCACCATTACACATAGGATACATGTTATGCAATACAGCAACAGCTTTTAGCATTCTGGTTTTTTTTAAGAAAACATAACTATTTTAGTTACTTGCAGTTCTTATCAATCCAAATGGTGCCAAGTAGCCAAGAAGTACGAAGACTGAGACTTGGAAGTATAGCTATAAATGAACTACAAAAGGTTCTTATATGTAAGGATATGTCACTGGAGACTGAGACCAAGATCATTCATCCTATGGGATTTCTAATTACTGTGTAGAAATGTGGAAGCTGGACAGTGAAGAATGCTGATGGGGGAGGGGGAAATCAATTCATTTGACATGTGGTATCACTAACAAGGTTATGTTTAGAATCCTACAAGTTAGGCTTCAGCAGTATGTGGACCGAGAACTCCCAGAAGTACAAGCTGGATTTCGAAGGGGCAGAAGAACTTGAGACCAAATTGCTAACATGCGCTGGATTATGGAGAAAGCCAGAGAGTTCCAGAAAAACATCTATGTCTGCTTCTTGACTACACAAAAGCCTTTGACTGTGTGGACCACAGCAAACTATGGCAAGTTCTTAAAGAAATTAAACTTACATGCAGAATACATCATGCAAAAGAAATTTAACTTATATGCAGAATACATCATGCGAAAGGCTGGACTGGATGAATCCCAAACTGGAATTAGATTGCTGGAAGAAATATCAACAACCTCAGATATGAAGATGATACCATTCTGATGGCAGAAAGTGAGAAGGAATTAAAGAACTTCTTAATGAGGGCGAAAGAGGAGAGTGCAAAAAATGGTCTGAAGCTGAACATCAAAAAAACCTAAGATCATGGCCACTGGTCCCATCACCTCCTGGCAAACAGAAGGGGAAGATATGGAGGCAGTGACAGATTTTACTTTCTTGGGCTCCATGATCACTGCAGATGGTGACAGCAGCCACGAAATTAAAAGACGCCTGCTTTTGGGGAGAAAAGCGATGACAAACCTAGACAGCATCTTAAAAAGCAGAGACATCACCTTGCCAACAAAGGTCCGCATAGTCAAAGCTATAGTTTTTCCAGTAGTGATGAATGGAAGTGAGAGCTGGACCATAAAGAAGGCTGACCACCAAAGAATTGATGTGTTTCAATTGTAGTGCTGGAGGAGACTCTTGAGAGTCCCCTGGATTGCAAAGAGAACAAACCTATCCATTTTGAAGGAAATCAAGCCCAAGTGCTCATTGGAAGGACAGATCCTGAAGGTGAGGCTCCAATACTTTGGCCATCTCATGAGAAGAGAAGACTCCCTGGAAAAGCCCCTGATGTTGGGAAAGTGTGAAGGCAAGAGGAGAAGGGGACGGCAGAGGACAAGATGGTTGGACAGTGTCACTGAAGCTACCAATATGAATTTGACCCAGCTCCGGGAGGCAGTGGAAGACGGGAGGGCCTGGCGTGCTCTGGTCCATGGGATCATGAAGAGTCAGGCACGACTTAACGACAACAACAATCACAGAAGAGTTTAACATATCATGGACCACCCAAAATACATATCAATGAATTTCAGATTAAATCAAGGCTGCACCCTTACTATAAGCTAAAAAGGTCTAAACAGACGCAATCATGCTTCAGAGACATAGAGAGAATACAAGATTTACTGGAAAAGACAATAATTCTAGAAAAAGTAGAAGGCAGTAGGAAAAGAGGGAGGCATAATATGAAGTGAATTGACTCAATAAAGGAAGCAATGGCTCTAGTTTACAAGATCTGATCAAGGCTCTTAATGGCAAGACCTTCTGTACATCATTAATGTATTAGGTTGCCATAAATCAGAAGTGACTGGGCAGCATATCACAACATTTTAATGATTTTTGTACAATAAGAAAGTAAAGGATTGCTTTTTTAAAAAAATCACAACTATGATGGCAATTAAGTAGTTTTGGGGCCATGGAACTAGAACTCTTTACTTTTAAAAAGTAACTTCCCCAACCTTGCTAGGATACACAACTGGGAACAAGCTGTTAAAACAGCAGATGACAACAAAGTAGGTGAGGTAGGCTCATAGTGTATATCCTGTTTTCAAAAGCCAGTTCCAAGGGTCTCAAGCAGTTAAGTTCATCTGCATATCACCCATTCATATAAAGCACAACATTGACTGGGACTCCACAGAGGACATGGATCAGGTACATGGGGAGAAAGATAAAGGAATAAATTAACATATACAAGAAGATTCTTTCTTTCTTTCAGTAAATATAGGAACACGGGCTATATCCCTTCCTAAATGTGTACTAAAATCTCAGTTGATGGGTAAAGACACCTTACACAATTTATAAATATCAAGAGATGTAGTGTTTGCCACATTTTACCTTGTGTGGACACAATGTAACCAAACACAGTTTAGTCAGAACCCAACCCACTTTTACTTGGTAGATTAAAAAGAATTGCTTTTCCAAAAGGGTTCCCTATAATAATAACCATATAAAATACAATTGATAGAAAAGAGAACAGTTGGCCAAGATTATCTGAGGTGTCTAGAAAAAGTGATATCTAGAAAAATTATACCCTTAAAGGGAAAAGACCGCCTGCTTATTTTAACAAAAGTGGTAAATTAGCTTGCACTTCTTTTGCCATTGGTCAACTGGGAGACAGCATAGCCTTATTTGTATGTCTGATGTCTCAGGCATGTAACACTGGAACATTTGCAAGTGGTCAGGGGGAAAAGGTTGTAAGAAGAGAAAATATACATTCGCCATAATCCATGGCCTGACTTCTTAGCTAGCTAGCGTGCAACCCCCCATCTTATATTTAGTATCAGAAATCTTGCAAAATAATTTCAAAAGGACTGCCTCCAAACCTGCACAGAATTGTGAAACAGGAACCTTTGCCATCTAGTTTCTTATGTGAGGGCTGCTTTTGGTTGGTTCCTCAAGGGAAAGGGTACTAAGCATTACAGTGGTGCCTCGCTAGGCAGTTACCCCGCATGACAGTTTTTTTGCTAGACATTGACTTTTTGCGATCGCTATAGCGATTCGCAAAACAGTGATTCCTATGGGGGAATTTCGCTGGACAATGTTTCGTCCCTGCTTCGCAAACCAATTTTTGCTAGATGACAATTTTGACAGCTCCCTCTGCGCCTGCAAACAGGTTTTTTTGGGACCTAAGCTTCCTGCAAACAGGTTTTTTTTGGGACCTAAGCTTCGCAAGACAGCGATTTAAACAGCTGATCGGCAGTTCGCAAAGCGGCTTTCCTATGGCCGATCTTCACTAGACAATGATGATTCTTCCCCATTGGAACGCATTAAACAGGTTTCAATGCATTCTAATGGGGAAAATGCTTTTTGCTAGACAATGATTTCACTAAACAGTGATTTCAGTGGAACGGATTATCATCGCCTAGCGAGGCACCACTGTATATCTATTGCCTGTATTCCAGTTTACACAACACTACAAATGAGGACAAGTAAAAGAAGATTTATTCTTTAACCCATTTCTGCCTCCCAGATGCTAAAAAGTAAATTTAAAAAGGTCCTATGGGATTAATTTGATCCAAGTTTTCACAGGGTTTGCTTCCATCTTTAGGGTAGTTTAATAAAATAACAACAATAATTTGCAGTAAAAATGAGTTAAGTTGAATAAATCTGAAAGGGGTACATTAACCCTTCCCCTTACCATTACTTCTTGTTCATAAGTCCAAACACCACAGGCCAGTTCAACACAGAAGATCACAAGCAAACTTCCAAAATACTGCAAAACACAAAACAATATTTATTGCAGTTTTAAACTGAAGTGAGTTTAAGAAGTGAAAGCAAGGAGCAAACAATTGTCATTTTGAAATATGTTCTGTCTCCCAAAATCCAAAATGAAGGAGTACTCTATTTTTAAAAAAACACAAAGAAGCTATAAATCAGAATAAAATACAGTTGAAAATACTATTTTAATAACTCAAAGGCTAGTATCTTTGCTTAGCTCCACCTGCACAATGAGAATGACTTCAACATCAATGGCAGACTGCAGCTGATTAAAGATTTCCTTTTTCCTGTTCAGTGTGTGTGACTTTAGCACTGAAAGCAAATTCCACACACAGTGAAATAAAAAAGGGAGTCTTCAGTCAGCTGCTAACAGTAATTTCATTTCCCTTGTGCAGGCAGAGCGGCACAACAAGATACTGGGTCATACAGTAAAGTAAGCAAAATCCATAATAAGCATAAGCATAATAGCCAGGAAGTCTTTTCTCCTTAAGGGTATAATTTTTCTAGATATCAGTTTTTCTAGAGACCCCAACATCAAAAAAACTAAGATCATGGCCACTGGCCCCATCACCTCCTGGAAAATAGAAGGGGAAGATATGGAGGCAGTGACCGAGTTTACCTTCTCAGGCTCCATGATCATTACAGATGGTGACAGCAGCCACGAAATTAAATGATGCCTGCTTCTTGGGAGAAAAGTGATGACAAACCTAGACAGCATCTTAAAAAGCAGAGACATCACCTTGCCGACAAAGGTCTGAATAGTCAAAGCTATGGTTTTTCCAGTAGTGATGAATGGAAGTGAGAGCTGGACCATCAAGAAGGCTGACCGCCAAAAAACTGATGCTTTTGAATTTTGGTGCTGGAGGAGACTCTTGAGAGTCCCCTGGACTGCAAAGAGAACAAACCTATCCATTTTGAAGGAAATCAACGTTGAGTGCTCATTGGAAGTACAGATCCAGAAGCTGAGGCTCCAATACTTTGGCCATCTCATGAGAAGAGAAGACTCCTTGGAAAAGACCCTGATGCTGGGAAAGTGTGAAGGCAAGAGGAGAAGGGGATGACAGAGGATGAGATGGTTGGACAGTGTTATCGAAGCAACCAACATGAATTTGTCTCAACTTCGGGAGGCAGTGGAAGACAGGAGGGCCTGGCGTGCTCGGGTCCCTAGGGTCACGAAGAGTCGGACATAACTTAATAACTAAACAACAAAAACAACAACAAAGCATAATGCTGAGTAGCCAGAAGTTGAATGTAGATCTAGCTGCAGATCTCTGAGTGATTTATAGGAGATCAGCATGGTTTTCTGATCTCTTACATGTAAGAGGCACAAAATTATACTATTGAAATTTGAAAAGCTTGGGTTTACTAGGAGTAAATTGTTTTTGCACTGTGACCTCTATTCCATTTTAACACTGAAAACTCATGCCTAGGCTTAGAAATTTTCAATTCTAAGTTTATGTCTTCTGCACAGTCCTCTAGTTGCCAGGTCTTGAGGTTGTACTGAAAAAAATTTAATAAATTCTACCAACCTGAACTCTGTCAATCACTGTTTCAAGGCACAAACTTGATATGACATTAAGGGTGTGAAGTAAAGCAATGGACTTTTTAAATATACATTGTGCAAACAGCTGCAGGTAGATAGGAGGGGGCCAAACAACATTTGAACCACAAGGAAAAAGAAGAGTTTGAAGGATGCAGTGGTCCTGACAAAGATCTACTACATATGGTAAGCTTTGCTCCTGAAGCAAGTAACAGCTGGGAAGGAATTTTCTTCAAAATCACAACATCCCCATTTCCACACCATCTTGATTCTGACTGTGCTATTTATCATAATATAAGACTGTTGCATTGATTTCATCCATTCATTCATTCACCTATCACAGTGGTTCTTAACCTTGGGTTACTCAGATGTTTTTGAACTGCAACTCCCAGAAACCCCAGCCAGCACAGCTGGTGGGGAAGGCTTCTGGGAGTTGCAGTCCAAAAACACCTGAGGAACCCAAGGTTAAGAGCCACTGACCTATCGCATCTTGTTTTGCCCTCATATTAAAATTGTTTTTAAAAAACCACCTTCTTTAAGGACATGAATTAATAGTCAAAAAGATTAACAGGCTACTTAAAGAATGTCATGATAAAAGGAATCTAAAATTATTAAGATGTCTCAAATCAAGGATAGGACAGAGTCCTCCATCCTTCTTTGAAACTGTGAAGTATTTTGAATAGAACCCATAGTGCCAATCAAGGGGTGAGACTGGAATAATAGCATGTTCGGCTAGGAGAGACTTCCTCTTGGAGAGTGGAAGAGAATGATATAGAGTGGATAAACCCCAAGATCATCAAATTCAATCATGTAACCATGGGAGATGATGGAAAGAACCCATTTATTGTTTGTAATAGTATGCCAGTGATGGAGAAATGGTGCCAATCTAGTTTGAAAGAGGACTTTTAAGAGTGGAAGGGGGTAAAAAATTTTGAAATATTTCATTAATATGGCTTACCCTTCCTTTTGGCCTTTGCAAAAGGGTTGACATTGGTGTGGCTGGCCCTGGGAACGAATGGACGGCATCAGTGGTTGTGGATCTGTAGGAGACCTCTCAGATTGCTGAGTACGATATTGTCTGTATGGATGGAATCACTGGTACTGGTACTGTGGGAAAGACCATGGATATGACTGGTTGCTATTGAGATCGTTGGAATCCAGAAAATTGCTGGTATGAGCAAGGTTTTGCCGTCTTACGTATCTTATGGATGTTTTCCATGGTCTCATCAGTTCTGAGGTTGAAAAGGCCCGTACCGTCAAAGGGGGGATCTTCGATTCGCTATCGTGGAAGATCTTAGCCAGGCATGGCGTCGAATAGAGATAGATGAGACTAAGGTTTTAGATGCAACTTCTGCTGCATGTCTAGCCACAATTCTCTGGTGCTTAGCAAGGGCTATAGCTTCAGAATGAGTGGTGATTAAGTTGGTTTTTATAGATTCTGGTGCTGATTCAAGAAGGGGTAGAACCTTGTTCCAGAGGTAGTGCTGATATGCCCCCATTGTGGCCTGATAATTAATATTTCTTAGTAAGAATGATTGGAGAGAACAGATCCTTCTGCCCAGGATATCTATTTTCCTTCTGTCTTTATTCATAGGAGTAACTTTGGATCTATTGTGGCCACGAGATTGGCTGGACTCCACTATTATCGAATTAGGTAGGGGGTGCTTATTGAAAAACTCAGTGTCGACACCATGGGCCTTGTAAAGGTTGTCAGTTCTTCATGAAATCTGCATCGTGGAATGAGGTTTATCCCAGGTTTCTTTGATGAGTTTTAGCACAGATTTGTTGAAAGTCAAGCTGAGTGGAGGGGATCTCTCCTGATTAATGTTGTCAAACACCAGGTCTGCCTCTGGTGACGGTGGTTATTCAGTGTTAAGGTGTAGTGCTTGAGCCATCCTGGATATAAGTTGCAAGTATGAAGAGAAGTCCTCCGAGGGGGAGGAAGGATGATTATCCCCTGTGTCGTCAGGAGGGGTAGGGAGATCTGGAGATGAATGGGAAGGAACTTCAGAGTGATGGTTCTCAGATGAGGAGGATGAGTTAGGCGATGATGGATAGCCTGGGTCGGGAAAATGAAAAAGATATTCATGATACCGAGACTCTTGAACTTCTGCAGACCCCAAAGGGTTTTTAGTAACGTGTAGTGGTTGAGACGGGATCGAGTGATCATGCTTCTTCGATCATGACGTCGACTTAGATCATTTAGAGGGTAGAGTTGGGGTCGATGTTGAGGAAGGCGGTGCAGATTTTCGAGATCGATGTCTACTCTTAGGTGAAGGTGGTTGAGAGTGATCCAGTGTACAATGAGCCCGTTTTTCTTGTTTGGAATGGTATCGTTCGTAGTAAGATTTGCACAGGGATGGGTCAAAAAACTGATATGGCATCATGGGGAATGTGAAGCAATCTCCATGTGCTGTCATGGGTCCTGGTGGTGAGAGATGCCTCCGTTTCTCTGTACGCTTTCTAGGAGAGGAAGGAAGTGTGTTGGGATCGGTTGCCAAACTTTCAACTGCCCACCCTGATACAGGGTTGGAATGGGCCGAGGCTGGGCTGGATGGGGGTGCAGCTGCAAAAAGACCAATGTTTGGTGTCAAGGTTGATGCCATGGTAGGGGCTGTAAGTTGTTGAGCCTCATCTCTGTCAGAATTCGAGTTGTGAGCCTCCCTTGAAGACTCCTCTAAGATAGGCGAGGGTTGAGAAGGCTGGGGGGTGGTGGTTTCAATGTGAGAGGATTTGTCTTGCTTAGACTTTTTTACAGTTGAGTTAGACTTCTTTTTCTCAGTGAGATTGTGCGCCTGGGAAGACGACTTAGCAGTAGAGGACAATCTTTGTTTAACAACAGATTTGTTTTTCTCTGCAGGCTCTTTAGGTGGTAAAATGGACACCCCTGATTCAGAAGTGGGCTGTCCTGAAGCAAGCCTTTCGCCCTATGAACTGGGGGATCTTACCGCCTCCGTGGATGGTGAGGAAGGTTCATCGCCATTTGCCAGAGGTAAGATCTCAGCCTGTGTAGTCTTTGCTTCAATGCTGGTCTTGTTAGATTTGTATAAGTGGCGCAAGAATGGGTCAGGTGATTTTCGCCTAAACAGAAGAGGCACTTATCGTGACCGTCTGAGAGAGCGATTCTGTTCGGAGGAAGTAGCTGGTAGAGTAATTAAAGGAAATAGGAAAAGATCAATTAAGAGAGGAAATAGTCTCAAAAAAGGAATTCAAGGCTAGCTTCGTCTTTCCAGAGAACCGTACAGCTCAGCGGAAAAAAGGAACTGAGAGGAATGGTGGGTGGAAGGAGCATATGCCTCATGGGGAAATCACACCATAAAATTGTTACTTTTAGCTCTAAAATCTTCCGAGAGCGTCAGCACAGGCACAGACAAGACCCATATGTGTGCATTCACAGAGGCCACGAAGAACAGCCATGTTCTCAGAAGGAAGGAGATGTTGCCACCTGGGAAGTT